GTGTGTGGGGGGCAGTTTAGGGTCTCCTTCCCGCTCTTAAAAAGAGTTCTGATAAGCTGTTCAGGAGAAAGCTGATTTCTGGTTAGTGTTTCTTTGTCATTTTAAGGTCAGGCACCGAGCCTTATCTCCGCTGCTGCCAAAGGTGGCCAGTTTTACGATCGAACTACCCAGAAACAGCACTTAGGGAAAGCGAACCTTTCACCTCCTCCTTTGGTCGCTTCAACTGTCTGTTGAGGGTTGATATCTCAAACCCCCTCCTTTTCTTTCTCCCAGGGAGAGAGAAAGACTTTGGAGTAGTCCAAATTTATTTGATATAAAATGCACAAATCCACACTGTTTGTACACAACATCATTAAAAAGCAGAACAGTAGGGCTTTATTACGTTACATTCAGTAGGAAGAGCTAGCGTTAGCTAACTAACATTACATTAGGAACAATCCACAGCCGACATTTTTCTGGATTTATTTTAGGTTTTGGAAACAGAATAAATCGTACTTCTCCTTTCAGTCTCTCTGGGTAGCTGCTGTAACTATTACAAGGGGCCCAGGAACAGCGTTTGACCAGATCTTAGAAAAATACAGCAAAAAAAGCTAGAAAACGACTCTTTTTGCATTAGATTCAATGGAGCGCAGCCATGAAAGTGTCTGACCTAAGTTAGAGCGAGTCCTATACTGCGCTGTGATTGGCCAGCTGTGTATTCGGGGCGTGGCTTAGCGAAGGGTCAAAAAAGTTGTGTTGTAGGACTAAGAAGATTGAGTGTAGGAGATTAATTAAGTAAAAAGAGGAAGAAGATGGCAGGCAGATATGTAATAATTATGGTAATGAAAACAGTAATAATTAATGGCCATGATCAAAATAATGATCTAATATGCGAGTTGTTGCGGGAAACGCCGGTGGAAACGAGGGAGAGGAGTTGGTTGTGTACGCAGAGGAGCTGTAAGCAAGACTTTAGACTGAGAATTGTCCTTGAGAGAGACTTCAGTTTCCTAAGGTTGTCACTTGCAGGAATACTTGCCAAGATGGTATCAGACACCTGGTCTGAGCCTGTCACTGGCAGAAAGAAATGGATGACATTTTAATGGGCGCAGTTGCCCCAAACCTTTTTGTACCTACTTGTCATTTAGACCCCAAAATATGTGAAAATAGGGCTCAGGTTTTATAAGGATCCTTTAACACACAAGAAAAGGGAAGTTATAAGAAACACATTATATAAATAGACAAACTAAGTTTAAACACTTTGGTATGAAACTGTATAAACTGGGTTTATACAGGGTGTCAGTGTGTGTTTTTTTCATCCAGCCTGTCCTCATTCCCAGGCATCAAATACCAACGCATTGTCTGGTACAAACACAAATGGCAGTGTTTAGCATCCAACAACATATTTTTTTCTACCAGGGCAGTAAAAGTTTAGCTGGCTGATCTGAGCTTTCACACTGGAAGCTACCGTTTTATTGCCAATTAGTGATCAGCTGATTGTCTCACAAACGCAACCGACAAAGCCAAAACAGAGAGAGTCACTACATGAAATTAATCCAACTTCATATTTTACACCACAAGCCAAAGCACAGCGCTGGAGAATAACTACATGAAGTTAGAGCTGCAAGCAGCGTTAGGTGGGCCCTCGCACGTGTAACGCTTCGAGGTGTGAGGCGGTCACATTGCAGATTCTGGAGCTCTGCTGATGTGGCTGTGAATTTGCCATGCGCTTTGGGCGCTGCACAAAGGTGTTAATCATCACTTCCTGTGTCGCCTTTGTGGCGCTAAATAGCACTTGGTGCTACGACTATAACTGAACATGTAGATGTGTTCTGGGTGTGACTGTTATCAAGCACAGAAAGTTTGGTGCAGACATGAGCATGTACACTGAAGTTACAACAACTTCCTCTTTCATGGCAAATCATCGATGTTGGATGCCTTGCCGTTTGTACAACTTTTAATCGTCAATGGCTTTAGGATAGACAGGGAAAATCTGAAGTCGGTCAGACTAATTCCCTAGGAGGAGTTTGTTAAATTATGGAGTGTGTAAAAAATCCCAAAATGACCATAAAATTCAAAATGGCCGACTAACTGTTGAGTTTAGGACATCGCTCCATAAGGCTTTTTTGTACATCCGGACATGATACATGTGCCACAGAAATATCGTATATATGGGTGAAATGTGCTGCGGGGGCTGCTTCGTTGAAGGTCACTTCCTGTTGCCAGTACACCTGCAATAGTTATGTTAGTTTCTGTTTGAGCACTTAGGCTCAGTGAATGAATGTGTGTGAATGGTGAATGCAGATGTAGTGTAAAAGCGCTTTGAGTGGTTGAAAAGACTAGAAAGGAGCATTTACATTTACTACAGGTGAATGTTGACTCTTTTCAAATGCCATGACAGCTGGAATAATAACAATTAAGTTAAAGAAATAACTTTATGAAAAGCATAAAGAATAGTTCTTCCTGTGACAACCTAAACTGTCTACACACACACACAACAGCGCCGCACCGACCCCAGCAACAGGCAGGGAAGAACCCCAGTAACCAGGGCACCCCGCGACCCCCTGAAGCAAAGGACCTGGACCACATGTCCCGGGGACAGCCACACCCAGGGAGCGAGAATGCGGGAGAACCAAGGCCGACAGTCCCCCAGCCCAACCAGGGGCAATCTGACCCCAAGTGCAGGCAGAGCCAGCGGCCCCCCTGCCAAAGAGGGCCCCAGCGAGGAGAGGAGACAATGGATCCCAGGCCTAGGGAAACGCCCCGCGCCCCAGACGTGAGCAAGAGTGCCCCCACACCACTGGAGACACGCATGTGGCATGTGGCACCTCGTTCAGAGCTACATCATCGTTACAGTTAAGAACAAGGACTGAGATTGCTTTGTGTGTAGGGATGGCAGAGCCTGCCGGCATTTGTTGGAGGAGCACTTCGAAGAAAATATCCCACCTTGAATCGTTATATCGTCGGATATTTACAAAACAAACCTCGTCAATGAAGAGTGAGGTGAGGTCAAAAAATAAGACAAAATAATTGGTCATTAATCATAATCGAGTTAAAATGTATAATTAATTGTGATTTTGATGTCGTCCAGCCCTTACCTGCCTCTGTGCCCCAGCTGTTTCAGACCTGCCACGCCTCTTCCTTTACAGCCATTTGGCTGTAAAGGAAGAGGCAAATGGCAAAAATAAAATTTGGCAAAGATAAGATTTACAATGCTTGTCAAATGCCAAATAGTAAATGCAAAAAGGCAAAACATTTTATCCATTTAAGCTTTTAATAAGATATAGGTTCAATAATTGTTTGGTGTTTCAAATCTCTAATGGATGTAAATTGTAGTGCATTTATATAATGTGTGCTGCCACCAGAGGGCACTATGACCTTGATAATTATTCTTGTTTAGACCGTAAGCTATTGAGGTGCCTCATTATGAGGTGATCATTCCTGCTTACTGAACAGTAGTAATGTCAACCTCAGGATAAGCAGTTGATGATGGATGGACATCTTCATGTAACCTTTATATCAGAGCTACTACATTAAATAGGAGAAAGCAATCTCTGCACGAGGCCCTGTTTCTATGTTTGCTTGTTACCAGTTTTCGCACATTTGTTATTTCTGTACATTGATTGAAAACCTTTAGGATGGCTAGCTTGAGTTTACTGAGCATTTGATCATTTCATTTAAAATGGCTTTTTTGTGGTCTTATTTTGTTTAAAGGATTTGTAGTGTTCAATATCTCCATTTTGGATTCACTGATGTTTTTAGGGATTCTTCAGTCATGCTGACTTGAGTCTTTTCTCAGACTTACACTCTTTGTCTTCGTCTTTTTGGGTTGCTCTTTTTCTTTAAATCAGCTTTAAAAGATTGAGTTCAGATAAAAGAATTGACTGTCCTCCCAGGAGGTGAGCTCTGGGAGAGTCCCGTCTTTAGCCTATTATTATACACTATACAGACAAGCTGATACACGTTTGTGACTAAGGCCTTTGCTCAACCTCTTTCACTCACACAGAGCGTTTGAACCTCAGTGACAAGGAAGGAGATGCTGCTAATACAGTACTTAGTACTGATAATATTATTGGGATACGCACCAGGCACACTCAAAATGTCTTCTATATCACATTGTTGGTTTTGTTCTCTGACAAACTGTCTAATTAGAAAAACAACACAAAAGTGGCACTTATTGCCTTCAATAATACATGTCATTACAGCCATCTGCTTCCTAAAATGTGGACCAGTGTTCTCTGCCTGTCCCCTCATTTCCAAATCATAAGACATTTATTTTTGTAAAATGCAAATGCTCTCGCTCTCACACATGCAGACGCACCGCCACACACAGACGATCATGTTTGTCATCGTTAACCCCTGCTATTACTGTACGTCAGTGTGTGATGTAAATAAATGACCAAATGAACACGACCCCAATTAAATGACAATAATCATATAACAATAACACAATTTTGTGCAGTCATATCCAGTATGAGTGTGTAGAGACAGAACTGAGGACGATCAGTCAAGCACCACCTTTAATGTCAGGATGAGTTGTAACACAGGGCGGAGAGTCTGCAGCCTCGCCACCCCACCCCGCCCTGTATGTCTTCACAGCAAACACAAAAGCCGAGTGTTGATTTATCCCAGCATCAGCATTTGGAGGCCCTGCAGGGGCTTCCACAGAGGGATCACACACATCACAGAACAAGTAATGAGCTTCAGCTCAGCTGCTTCCTACTTCCTGTCAGGATTTATGCAGTGAGGAGATTTACTGTTGTTGATCTGATATTATTATTGTTTTAATTAACTGCACAATCTCAATTACTGGGGAGTGTTTGTAGTTAAATCTGGTCTGGTTATGAATGCCAGCACAGAAATGTCCCCAAGGCTGGATCATGACAAAGCGGGCAACTGCAGAACACTTATGCACAGTTAAAAAATGAAATGGCCCTAAAGGCCCTAAGGTGACCTGCATTTTACTTGTTGTTTCTGTGACGATCATCCTGGCAGGTGATTACACAACAGATTAAAGCAGCAGGTTTTAATCCTTTTCCCCCATTTTATTTCTTTTTAAATAGAAAACCTTGCCCAGCTGGACAGAGTTGAAAGAAAAAAAATTACAAAAAAGTCAAAGAAAAAAAAAAAAATGACAGCATCCTGTTTACATCATGTCGTGTTGTAAAGCTGAAAGAAGAGCATCAACCCGATGGACTGCTGCAACATACATTACCTCCACACAGACAACACAGGCAGTAGCAGGGCAGTGATTCAGGCCTGCCGTAAGGAAAGGTTCTGCCCTCAAACACAGGACGAGGTCAATCTGGCTTTCACATCTCAGCTCAACGAAGCCACATCTCTGTAGACTAGGACCAGCCACAACTTTTTAAAAATTTCAACAGAAAAGAAAGTCACTTATCAAAAGGTACTCAAGCCGGCCAACAAGAGTGCTGCTTGCTTTTCAGCCCGGTGGAAAAAAGGCCAGACTGGTTCCCCCGTCACCCACCAGAAAGGCCTGGGATGGATAGATAGATAGATAGAACGTTTGTGTTTATTCTCCATTATATAGCCAGTTTCGCAGTGTACGCACGCACAGGCAACATGATACCAAAAGCAGACTGTGCACAACTCTTTGGTGATAATGAGTTTACGAAAAGGAACATGGAAAAAACACACTATCCCACAACTGACATGGTTATACAATCTTTCCAATATACATATTTCAACAATCAGAGAGTAGAAAATGGAGCCTGCAAATTCAATAAATTAGACAGCAAAAGATGAATTGCAGATAAAAAGTCCAGCAGTTGGGTTCACAGAAATGAATAATAAAGAAAAATACAAAACAATCCTGGAGAAACAGTAACGTGTCACAAAGCGGAAAACCACTGTAAATAAAAGAAATCAAATGAAATGGCCAGTCAGTGATCACTGACACTGCTGTGATGCGAGTCTTTACTGATGAAATGTTTAGAATCAGTCTTTTTGTAAACATTCACAATCAAGAGTTGAGTTATGTTTGGAGCACTGCTGGTCTGAGGGTACATGGACACCAGTCTGTTTTCTGCACACAAGACAAATGGAACAGTTAAGGACCAAAATGGTGCACTTCACTGAGGTACACATTTATAACCCCTGCCTCCCTCTGTCCAGACAATCATGTTACGGCTGGAGGAGCCTCAGGCCCCCACTGTGGCCCCTGCTGTAGTCAGGCTCACACAAGAATACTGGTGCCTCTATTCTAAATCAAAACATGTACTTCCATACTAGAACCCAGACTGTGTCTATGAGTTGTTCATCATGGTATTACTGGATATTATCTTCTTTTAAAATTACATATTTTCAAAATATATCCACGTGAAGTCTTATTTTAGTAAAAAATAAATTAGGTGGTGAAAACACCACTAACAGGAGGAAGTGAGCACAGACAGTTTAGGTTGAGATTCCGATCGTCTGCAGCCCGGCTTTTCTCACGCTGTCCTAACTGAGCCGTTATTGCTTGCCTGCCTCCTGAAGCCGTGGTCGTTCTTCTCCAGCCAGAGCTCGGCTAGCTGCTGGGTGGAGCCGTGTGACGAGGCTTTGGAGCCCAGGCACATCTTATATTGCTTTGCCTCCAGGTTGGGGTCACATATAACAGGGTGGTGGACGTGCACTATCCCCATGTCAGTGCTTCTGAACAACTTAATCCCTGATTGGACAAATTTATTGAAAAGGTCCACATCCTCCAATCCCCACCCCTGTATGGAGGTATCAAAGCCTCCAGCTCGGACCAGGTCTCCCTTGTAGACGCAGACAATGCCAAAGCCATAGTTCCTCCACAGGCCGGTCTTGGAGGTGAAGACGTAGTGGTTGTTGCTGGGGACCTTCCCAGCGTACACAACCTTGGGGTCATACTGGCTGAAGATGATGGGGAAGTAGGTCTGCTCCCCCAAGGCGGTGTTGCTCCGACATCGCTTGAGGAAGTCGCTGGTGAAGAGCAGATCCACATCACAGTAGAACAGCAGTGAATCGTTAGAGAAGTGCAAAGAACCCACTTCCAAAGCCAGAGCCCTGGAGAAAGAGCCGGCGACAGGCTTGATCTCCATCTCGGCCCGGGGATACTTAATGTGATACTCCCTCATCAGCTCCACCTGCTTGACCCGCTCTGTGTTGTTGTCTGTGCTGAAGAGCAGGATGAGCAGCTTGACGTTCTGGTTGGGGATCAGACAGACTCGTTCAAAGTTGGCCATGAAGCGCACAAAGATGTCATAGCGTCCTGATAGAGGTACCAGGATATTGACCTTCTTCTCTTTTGGCTTTCTCTGGTCCTGTCCAGAGGCGGCCAGCTTGAAGGGCACCAGCATCTTCAGGGAGTTAGACAGAAATGAGAGGGAGTCTGACTCCTTGTTGATGTGGCTTGCTAGAGCTCTGGCATCCATCTCCTCCTCCTCTCTGAACTGGATCTGGCTGAAGGTCTGCTGCAGGTAGGCGTGCCTCCTCACAGGAACGGTCATGGTCTTTCCTTTGTGCTTCTTGTACAGCAGCAGCAGATCCAGCACATATTCTGCCCCATATAAGGGATTAACCCTCCGGTAGCCATACTGGATTTCTTTGAAATCAATGACCCGCCCCCGTGTCTTGGCATTGGCATTGATCATCTCCATCACCTGCATTATGATGTCATCCAGGGCTTGCCTCTGGGAGGAATCCATCCCGCGGCGGGGTGGCTGACCTTCAGATGATGAGAACAGGTACTTCCCTGTCAGAAACTCCCACTCCAGGACCTCCTCTCTCTGGTGTGGATGGAAGCGCATAAATGAGGGCGGCATGCCGAGCTGGAGGTCCTCTCGGCTGGGCTCAGCAGCTCCGTAGCGCCCCATCTGGACGATCTCCCGATGGAGCTGAATGGTTCGGTGGCGCAGGTCTGCAATCTTGCGGCTCAGCATGTAGCTGTGTAGGCGATACTGGTAGGGAGGGTTCTTGTTAGGGTGGAGTGTGATGGCTCGATGGATCTTGCTGTTGTGGAGATCTCGTATGTAGCCCTTCTTATTTGGTTCATAGTTCTCATAGAAGAGTTGCTGCATCTGTGTAGAAAGGAGATGGAACGGTGTTAGTGCCACCGGGGCCATGTACATTTGTAACACTGGATGTTCATTATTACACATGCAAATAGAAAACATCACAATGGGAGCCAGAGCCTTCAGCTATCAAGATCTCCTGGGGAACCAGATTCCAGTTTGACTTCCCATGATGCACTGACCTCCTGTCTCTCTGTCTGTATTCTTACCCATTAATGCATATTTCTAACCTGACTTCTTTCCTCTCCCGTAGTTCTGTGCTCTGTAAATAATGTTGCAAAGAGTAATGGGCCTGCTTTGTATGAAAAGTGCAATGAGATGACTTCTGTTTTGAATTGGCACTATATCAATAGAATTTTACTGCGTCAGCAGAAGCAGAGGACAGAGGAGAGGATAAATGATGACATAGGGCTGTTAGCCACTTTATTATAAAAGACTTGTAGCCAAAGGTTCTGTTGAGAGTTTTTAATTTCCAGTATAGTTCCAGTATAATTTATTTATTCTTCTTTAAGTTTAGCTAGAAGTTAAACTCTATTAATAACTATTATTAACTACTATAGTAATAATAATCATTATATTATTTAATGATTATTATTTATTATTTCATTTATTATATTATTTAATTTAACTATTTGATGCTATTTAGACCAACAGTAGGGATGTAAAATGGAAAAGATTTTATTAATACCAATTCCATTATCAATTTGCTATATCGATTCCCTGATTGATTCCTGATCACTTTTTTTGTGTGGAAAGAAAGCAGGCCTCCCCTGGTTTTCAGTGGTATTATCTCTGAGTGTGAACCCAGTGTAGAAACAGTCCCTGTGCAGCTATGGGAAAGGGGTTTGCCGGCTGGGAGCTGATGAGTCCAGCTGGCTGAAGTCCGAAAACTAGCTGTAGCAACACTCTGTCAAACAACGACATGAGAGAATATTTATACTGCTTCAGCAAATGCTTCAATAAATTCAATCTAGAATTGTTCCCGGTTGAAAGCTTTTTGCTGGTCGCACAAATGGGCAATGTTCTTTGCATCTTAGACTGTGACACAATACTGGCAGTAGCTACTTACAGCTGTGGAAAGAACACCTCTCTCCCTCGTTCTCCTTTCTTCAATTAGCTTTTTGACTAACAGCTGACTTAAACAATGGTTAAATATGGTTCGGTGCCATGACCTGCAGCACGTCATTCACGTCAGGAATGGTGCGTTCAGTAGCGCAGTAACGCAGGGTTACTTGAAATAGTAATTGTAATAATATAACTGCTTTGGAAATAGTAATCCGTTAAACTACTCTTTACTGTGAAAAGTAATGTTATTACTGCCCAACACTTTAGGTAACACTGATGCATGAGAGCGACTGGGCTACACACTGTGCAAGTGTCGAACTGGGCATCTGAAGGGAAACAAACATCCATGTTGATACTTGGAAAGGAAAAAAAAAGTCTTTACAGCCTGTAGATGCCCTCAAATCCTCTCCATTTCACTCGGGCAGCTCCTGTAGCCCCCTCCTTTTTTTTTAAAACAGATCTGCAGGATTCATGTTGGTCAGATTTTCAGGTTGGAAAATCTGGAATTCCAGATTAATCTGGAAAAATCACATCCCTGATAAATTAAATGTAGGATTTTTCGTGGTTGAAAGCTTGTTGCTGGTCGCACAAAGTTTATAACAGACAACAATGTTCAATTGTGTGTCACAAGACACACAATTACATCTTACAGCTGTGGAAAGAATGCCCGTCTCCCTCGTTCTCCAGTCATCCTCTAGCTTTTTGGCTTGAACAACATAAGGTCGGTGCGTTCTAGTAATGCAGTAACACAGCGTTACTTGGATAAGTAATAATATTGTAATAATATTACTGTTTTGGAAATAATAATCTGTTATGCTACTAGTTACAGGCAAACTTTTAGATTTTATTACAGTTACTGCCCAAAACTTGTGGTACAGCACAGTCCACTGCTGACACACAACAAGTGAGTGAGTGTTAATTGTTATAATCTGCTAGAGCTTTACAAACATACTGTTCCTCAAATTGCAGGAGGCTACAAGTGTGAAGGGAAAGAAAGGCCACAGCCTCCAGAAAGTCTAATTTGAGAGGACGGCTATGGAATGTAGCCACAAGCCTGATCTCCAGGGAAAGGCCATACGGGCAGAAAGACAGGACAGGCCTGAGAGCTATGGAAAGTGATGGCTTTAGCCTGCGTTCCTCTGCTAAGAGAGAGAAGCCTGCAGATTAAAACACACATGTAACCTTGTCATTAATGGAAGTCTTAAGCCAAGCTGCTGAATAAAGGGCCCGCCTTTACAACTGAAGCCAAGCCATTGCAGATTGTGTAGTATTCCTTCAAACAGACAATGTTTAAGTAGAGACCCTTTCAGACAAAGAATATGCAATCTCTCATTCAGACATACAGTAGGTGACTTTTACATTACTTTTCCTCACCACTTCATTTAGACGTGAACAGACATTTACGGAAAGATAGTGAGGTAGAAGATGTTTTATGTTCTCTCACAGGCTGTATCTTAGAGGGATTTGAAAACTTATGTTTCCACTGTAGCCTAATTAATGACCATTTACCATCAGTTTCATCACTTAATGTTTTTTTTATGTTATCCAACCACGCACAAACACTTAATGAATTGAAATGAATGAAGTTGGGACCCTCATTTACTTCCTGTTTGCACACATTCTCTATGTAAAGTGCTTTGCTGGATATTCATGTCCTGAGCCAACTCTAAGGAATGCTATCAGGGATGATCCAGGCCCATTTTAATGGATTGGTATCATAATTTCATCCTTTCTTTACTGAACTTTCTCCACCTCAGCCTGCTAGAGTTCTAGGGCAATGCACTGTTCAGATTTTGTCTGACATTTGGTCTGAATTTTGCTTCATTAATCTCCTCCGACGCCGTCTCTTGTCTCTGTGTTTCAGTAATTTCACAAAGTCACTCTTCAACATTGATCAGCTCCAACTCCAACATGATCCACTTACTTTCAGCTAATTTTATCTGCCACTCAATAGACATCTATTCACAATAATAGGGGATGTATGCACATAAAACAAAAAATGCCAATTATTTTCTATTATTTCAGGCAAGATGAGTGTTACTCCTATGAAATCCTCACTGTCAAGCTGAAACAGCCCAAAATATGTCCTGTTAAAACCAACTGACTCCTAGCTCTGTAGAGAGACACAGGTTGGTGGATTCGCTAATCAGGTCTGTTATCTCTGTAATGCTGCTGTACAACTGTGAGTGATTTTGTAGTCCCAACAACTCCGACAGAGTGAAATGTCTTCTCTCTAGTAGTGTTGCACGGTATACCAATAACTAAAATAATAAAAGGTATCGTAATAACTTGCCATTAAAAACAATACAATACTGCCTTTTATTGATATTCATTACAACTACAATATATCTATAAAAATATAGAAAACCTGTTGGTCAGATTATTACTGTGGTTGTATGAGAGTTTTTTAAACTTCTTTTGTCCTGGCTCATGAAAAGGAGATGATGACTGGGTGAATAAACTGATCAGGGTGCTTATTCAAACATAGGATTTTAAATTGCCATCAGATTAACATAAAGGGCTGGGGGGTTTAGCTGAAGGGTTCATGCTTGCATTTCTGGTAAACAAAATAAGCAAAATAAGCCGGTTGCTGCTGTCTGCCTGTATCTGTTGTCTTCAGGGGGCAAAGGTTGAAGTGCCACAGTATTTGCAGGTGATAGTGGTGCTGGAGGAGAGCTCAGACTGTATCCTGCAGGGTAACACCAATCAGCTGACAGCTAATTGGTCAGGATGTTTATGTCTCTCTCCTGCGGCTTCACCATCATTAGCACCCTTCCCAATTACATTTCTTCCACTTTTGTGGTCACCGTTGCAACTTAAGACTCATCAGTGCAATTTCTTCACAGTTCATAAACCTCCCAACATCCCTGGCCCGAGTTTGCAGAAAGGTTCTCAAAGGCAGGACAGAGTTAAATCACAAGTTATTTGCGGGAGCTGAAGCCGTGTGTGTCACTTTTTATTTTGAACATTTGAATGATTTTAATATTTGAACTGTAATGCCCTGTCCGAATACAAAATGTATACGCAAAAGATCGTCAGCTTGACTGATACCTTTCCCTGACCTATCATTAAACTAAGCTAATAAATAAAATGGGGAGGACCCGCAACACACTGTATGGGTTTAAATTTAAAAGTATTATATTATTATTATAAAAGTATATAATTTGAAAGAATAGAGTGTCGTTTGAAATCAACTTTTTAAAAAAGCCCTATCAGAAACCGCAGACCTACGTATTTTTTCCAGTTTGGAAACAAACACCATAAGCAAAGAAAAATAAACAGTATTATCAAACCAACACAGTCAGTGACAGAGGACAGAGTTATCTGATGTGAATGGAGATGCCAAACCAGTGAACACAGCCGGAGTCCGTGAGAAGGGTCCGTGCTGCGATTACATTAGTGAATTAATACCATTACGGCAGGGGTTCAGGCCCTAAATACACACACTGCGACATGCCACGAGACTGCAAATGCCCTGAAACCGATTCTTTCCCTCTCCTGCCTGGCAAAACTCAAGACTCACTCAGGACATCCTGCTGGAGGAACTAACTACACCAGAGACCAAACAAGTTTTTTTATTTAACACATATTTCCACACGGGAGAGATTATCTGTGATGGGTACTGGTTCCCTAAGTAATCCCCCCACTGTCAATTCCCTTTTCAAAGTTTTCTTTTAATGACTTTCTCAATGTTCTTTTGAGTCTCCATTTAAAAATTAACCATACTATAGGTTTCTGTTTTAACCATCTGGTTTATTGAATTCATCTTCCTTTAAGAGATATCAGGGTTTACTTCATCCGTCTGGTATGGCAGATGGCTCTAAACATTGCGATACCCATGAGCCACTGTTACTGTGGAGAACGAATCAGAGCTATAGAAAATTCACAATGCTTCCTTGGTGCAGTTGGGATTGATCAGCCCACAATGACATGCATCAACA